CAGCTTAAGAATTTGGCCCATTGTATCTCTTCCCAAGCCATGCTGTGATTCATTATAATTTTATATCATTGTCTATTTTGATGCCAATGGGAGGCTACAGATTTTTACCCTCTTAAATAATCTTGTTACTGTGTGAGCTACAGATATTACTTTGTTTCAAATGTGTGCTGAAAGGAGAAAATAATGTTTGTAAATCTCCCCTGTCCAGAGGTCCCTCAGGGTCCTCTTTAGGTAGAAGGAATGAGGAGAAAAAACAGAAGAAAAAAAAGCAAATTGGCTGGATAATTGACTAAGTGTTAGGATCTGTTGTTCAAACCCTGCACAAGTTTGGGAGGTGGCTGAACTTAGCTTTCTAGAGAAGGTCAGATAGAAAAGAAATTACTGATCAGTATCTGTATGTTATCTGTTATTACACAGAACAGGGAGCGGGCAGGAAAAGCATTAAGAAAGTAACTGCACCAGATTTTCTGAATTTATCTACGTCTACTTTTCAGTCACTGTATCTCAGTGAACCTTTGATTAAAAAGCTTGTTTGTCTCTCTGGATGTCTGCGTTGAAGACATTCTTTTGTTTTTTTTTCTTTCGCCATTAGCTTGTTTCTCATTTGGTGGAGTTTCTTATAAAGTGGGTTTGCAGTCCTCTGCTAACTTTTGCAAATTTCCTGTGATCTTTCTCCATTTTGTCAACATCCTTCTGCATTTGAAAACCTCAGAACATAAAATTTGAGTAGTTTCTCACAAGCAGCTGATGCAGCGCAGCCGTTGTTGTTAAGGATCTTTTTGAAATATCCAAGGATTGCATTAATCTTCCCAATCGTAGCTGCATGAAAAGAGTCCACAATTAGCAGAAAGTCTACCATGACATCAAGACTTTCTTCATTCCATCTTCACAGGGTAGTCTCCCAAGAAAGTAAGTTTGTTCCTACATGTATGTTTTGCAAAATTGGTATTGCAACAGATGTGGTTTGTTTGCATACAGGCAGTCTGTGGTGTTCTGGTTGATGAGGTATTCTCTGTATTACTTGCCCCTCCATCAGCCTTCGTGATCTGCAGGCTTCCTCTGTAATGATTTTAGATTTCAGATCATTAGTTACTTTTCTCCGCATTTTTTCCTCTTATTTTTTCTGCCTGCAGATTTTATCAGCAATTATTTTCCTCCTGGTCATTGTTCAATAATGTCATGCTTAAGAAATAAATCCTGCTGGAATACATTAGAAACATATCTTCCCAATGACAATTTCCTGTTTATAACTGCATCTGGAGACTAATGTAACTAACTTAACTAATACTTTCTTTGTGTTGCTTCATTTCCTAAAAATAATGGCATGCAAAACTCAGTCAAATGCTTTGTCTATTTTGATAAGTTGCATTTTTTGTAAAATCCGCATTGATCATCATTAATTTCATCTCACTTGAATTCTCTAGCTCTTGGAACTTGATTTATGCCTTTTGAGAGTGGAGACGTGGTAGGGTCATTTTGTTTACCCTTTTTTTTAGTATTGGCACAAAATTATCTTCTGGAACTTCCTCAGTGTTGTAAGACTTCTTGACTACTTGGAGCAAGCTTTGGCCAGCTGTTCTAAAACTCGTGCAAGTTATTCAGATCTACTTATTTTAAAAAGTTTTCATGTTATAGCTGTTGTTCGGGACTCTGAGATGATTATAGTTGGAAAACCAAGCGTTTCATCATCATTCTCAACATACACTATGGCTTTAACTCAGTAAAATCAAATATTGTTTATGCCTCCTCTTCATTACTGCACAGAAGTACTTGTGTGCATCTTGTTTATGAAGGGACATTTCAAAAAAGCCAGAGTTCACTCAAGTTCAAGGCTGTTCCAAATCGAGGTGTGCCCCAGGATTATCTATTGCATAGGTATGTTTCTGTGCACTGTAAAGTACATTGGAAATTGAGGTGCTGAGACTGTCCAGGTGATCTGTGGGTTTTGTGTTCATTCCATTTAACGCATAGCAAAGTGAGCCAAGCACAGAGCCCTGTTGTACTCTGAAAAGGGACCACATATGTCCTCAAAGTTTTATTCAATAAAAGGATATAATCAAATTACAAATCAGAAAGGAAATCTAGCAGAGTGGGGATATTGAGTAAATGTATGAAAATGATCTGGAAGCCAATTTAAGTTTTATATTCATCTTGGGGAAAAAAAAAAATCTGTGCTAATAAAACATTGATTGGCCTATCATTTCCCTATTTTTTAAAGCAAAGACTTAAGAATCAAACAGGTTAAATTGGTAGTATAAAATTTAAGTCAGGTTTTGAGGGTATTTTAATTAGTGATTTTTATTAAAGAAAAAATATTTTATTCCTGTAGCAAATTTGAGTTGTCCTAGTGTCCTGGTTTCAGCTGGGATAGAGTTAATTTTCTTCCTAGTAGCTGGTAATAGTGCTGTGTTTTGGATTTAGTATGACAATAATGTTGATAACACACTGATATTTTAGTTGTTGCTAAATAGTGCTTACACTAGTCAAGGACTTTTCAGCTTCCCATGCTCTGCCAGGTGCACAAGAAGCTGGGAGGGAGCACAGCCAGGACAGCTGACCCAGACTGGCCAAAGGGCGATTCCATAGCATATGACGTCATGCTCAGGATATAAACTGGGGGAGTTGGCCAGGGGGTGGTGATCGCTGCTCAGGGACAGGCTGGGCATCAGTTGGCAGGTGGTGAGCAAGTGTATCACTTGCTTTGTGTATTATTATTGTATTTTATTATTATTATTGTTATTGTTATTACTACTATTCTGTTTCATTTTACTTCAATTATTAAACCATTCTTATCTCAACCCAAGAATTTTCTCCCTTTTACCATTCCAATTCTCTCCCCCATCCCACTGGTGGGGGGGGGAGTGAGCGAGCAGCTGTGTGGTGCTTAGTTGCTGGCTGGGGTTAAACCATGACACCTACAAAGTCAAGAAATGTTGTTGGCCAAAATGCCTGTAAACCAATGATTAGGGTTTTTTAATTTTACTTTCTATAATTTTTTTTTTAATAAGAAAATGCATATGAGATGACCCACCTTAATTAAAATAAAGGGATGGGGGTAGTTATTAAACTGTTTTAAAAATATACTCTAAATATGTGACAAATGGACTTGAAGATAAATCGGAGGACAGGAAAAGGATGTGTATATTGCAAGAGCTATATATGTGATACTGAAGACAGGCAGAACTAGAAGTTATGTTAGATTTGCCTAACTTTTCACTAGTTGGTTTTCACTAGTAAGTCATCATGTACAAACCTTCATAAAATATTTGGCCAATGACTGTAGCAATCCTAGCTGTTGAAATGTAAAATGGGTATTTAAATTTAAGAGTTGGTTTTGAGAATGGCATAGAGTGGTTTAGGTGGGGTTTTTTGTTTGGGTTTTTTGCTGGTTTTTTGTTTGTTTGGGTTTTTTTTAACTAACTTGTGAAGCGTATGATACTTATCAACTAATGCGATACATTAATCAGTAATAAAGTGTCTGGACAGGTCATGTTATTGTATGAACCTAATAGGATTAATTATAAATTGATGTTTAGTTCCTAAAATTTTCAAGTAAGTGTGCTTTTAAAATGAGGAATAAAATTGGGAGAAAGGGAAAAACAGGTTAATTATGTGCTTTTAGGGTGGTTCTTAAAACTAGTTAATAATTTGCCATGAACGGAGCTGCCTACAAGCAAAATGAAATAAAATAGATGGAGACAGTCATACTGTGTAAAGCAGTTGAGTTTACGGAAAGATTTCCCAAGTAGTAGTTGACATAGGAATAGGGACAGAGGAAAAACCCAAATTCTCAACTATCATTTAAAGAAATAATGAATTACAATGAGGGGTTTAGGTGTTTGTGAGGTAGGTATCAGTTGGCTACAGCCAAGTACTTCACAATCACAAGGTAATTCAGGCTTCTGTCTTCCAGGTCTAACCCTTCTTAAGATAGGTTAGCACCCTTCTTGACATCCTAGACTCTTTATGCCACTAGAAGTCATTGCCCTCACTGGCTTTTTATATAGTTTATTTGTACTGATGGTGAATTATGCACTCAATTATACTTGAGTAGGAGCAAGTTTGAGGACAATGTGTACAAACAATCTGTGAAGCAGACACTCCAGCTCCTTTGGCCTTCAGTGAGATATCATCCTTATTTATGCATTTGAAAATACCATTCTAGGCTGTCAAAGACTTGAGAGGAAGAAGGCTGGTAACAGAGCAAAATATAGAGCAATTCTGCATCTTTGCTAAGAAAGTTACCCAAATTAATGACACTTCTTAACTGCCATGCAGTAGCAAATTTTAGATACCCTGCTTATTTTACATGCAGTGTTCATGAGAGAAAGACAAGCCAGATCTAGCAGCTAGAAAAGCAGATATAAAAATGTATTGAATAGGACACATTACCTGACGCAGTCATATAAAATGTTGTCTAGCCATCATCTAGTCAACTGTTAGCAAATAAATCCTGAGAATATAATAGAAGAGATCAAGTATTTCTTAGGTGTTGACAGCTGTAGTGCTTTCATACTGAACATGTTTAAAAGAACTGATTTCCTCAGAGGAACATATGGGAAGTACCTGCAGTGCATGTGTACAGAAGTGAACGTAGAAATAATGGGATGTGGAAAGCATAAAGATATTCACTGCCCGAGAACCAAGCAGTTGACAAACTGTCTGAAAGAGTTCATGTTTCTACTGTTCTCCTAGAAATCTCATGCAAAAGCTTAAATTAAGTGTATAAACAGCAGATAAAAGTTTCAAGAAAACCAGCAAAGTAATTTTAAAATATTTTTTCTTGAATTATAGGAATATTTTATAGTGTGCAGTCAGAAATGCTGTTCTGTTCCTGACTGTGACTTTGGGAATCGTTGGCGTTGTTTACAAGAGCTTTTTGAAGAAGGAAGGAAGGAAACAACTTCAGGTGGAAGGAGTTGAGAGAAAATGAGAAGTAATAAAAAAAATAAAGAAAACTTACTATTAATGTGATTGCTGTTGTATTTTTCATCTTACAGTTTGCAAGACATATCAAGAAATCGGAAGGCCAGAAGACACCCAAAGTTGAATTACAAATCTCAATCTATGGTGTAAAAATTCTAGATCCAAAAACAAAGGTAAGAGACTTATATATTTATGGTGCTAAACTAGTAATTAAATATTGGTTTAACTGGTTTTAGTGTTTTATATTTTTAAAAAAAATTTATAATCAAAGCCATTCTGTGGATGGAAAATTCTTCTAAAATACCATTTCTTGTTACAACACATAGGTGACATCTTCCCAGAAAGGTACATGGTACTCTAAAATACAGACTGTAGGATAATGTGGGATTTAATTTTTGTAATCCTTTCACACCAGAACTTTTAAACTCTGAGGAAGATGAAAACACTGTGGTAAATAAATGTTAACACTGCATATGATAAACACCTTTCCAAATGGTCACCATTGTGTAGGTGTTTGCAGGTGAATGAGGAGACAATTTGTTTGCAGTGACTCATTCTTCATGCTGTTGCTTTGGAATTGCACGTCTTTCCTTAACATGTTCATTTTTTTCCTCTTTTTCTTGTGTGATTTTTTTTTTTGGGGGGGGGGGTGTTGTTTTTTTTTTTTATTGTATCCCCCCCTCCCTAGAATGCTTATGTTTCTCAGTTGTGTTACCCATTTCTCTGTTAACTTCATGTAGCAGGCCATAAGCACTGTTGTGGGCTTTTTATCTGGCACAGCATGACAATTTCTGCCTTTTCAGCATTTAAGTCCATTGAGTCATCCCATGGATGGGTTTTCTCTTCCTTTGTTTGCTCTGGTATTTTGGAAGGGGTTACACAGTAAGCAAAACATCCTCCTCACAGACTTCAAGAGGAATAATGAGATAAATATAATCAAGCTAAAAAGTATTTATTCAATAGTCAGCAATTCTTAACATCTGAGTGCTATTAATTCTTTTGTACATACATTGAATGTTGGATTTGAATGAACTGTTTGTTACTGCTTCTTAATTCTGGAGTAATTGCCACCATTCAGACAGCGATACTGCCCTTTGAGAAAAGGTAGCTTTAGTTCAAGGCTATACCTACTCGCATCCTATTTTCGCTTCAGACTCTTGATACAGCCGCAATTCAACAGTTCATAAGCAGAGAGGACAAGAAATATCCATGCCAACTTTAATTGCAGTTTTTGCATCTTCCTTATGGCATGGGGCAGATAGGGGTACTAAACCCCATATCCTGGCAAAAAACTGTTTTAAAATAACAGCTTTAAATGTTAGTCTTCTAACTCTTCCTGCAGAGATTAACAGAAAGCTGTGGGATCGCAATTCCTGAGGGAATATGAACATTCTAATCTCTTAGCAATGTTGTTATTACAACTCAAATGATAATCAACTATGAGTAGTCTTTTTATCTCCCCCACTTCGTCTCTTAAAGCTACATGTAAATGTAAATTTGAATCAGGTTTTCCTTCTTTTTGCACAATTTATACATACTTTAGGAAACGACTTAAATTCTATGTCATCATCGCTGATTACAATAATTTTTTCTGCATGTTTTTGAAACAAATCAATATTGTTAGAGGAATATTCATTTATATTCATGTAATGACTATTAATTGTGGTAGGAACAGGAGGCTTGCTCATGTATCAGGACTTGATCCTATATTTGGTGCTCAAAAAAGGAGGATTATAGAAAAATGGTTCTGTCCTTAAATGGTATAAAGTGATTCTATGGATCTATAAAACCTACAAGAGCCAGAACAAGCATGTGTTGTTACATGTAACTCTTAAAGAGCTGCAATGGACAGAGGTTAAATGTGAGAGAGATTTGGGAATATGGGAGAAATAGGATACACAGAAGAATGGCTGTAAAGACTGAGAAAAGGAATGCAGCTGGGGCAAGGGGAAAAGATTGCCCATATAGTACATTTTTTTGATAAATGGTTGCGTGCAGAGAGGGCATGCCCTTGTTTATGAGCTTATAGCAATCTGGGAACCTCAGTGCTGCACAGATACTTTCTTTTTTTTAATAGATAATAGTTCACATCTAAACTGCATATTTTCCTTTAAAGCAGATAATGCTTTCCCATGTAATAAGCCAAATAAAATAAAATACCAAGAAGAGACTTGTTGAAGAAAAATAACAAAAAAAAATAGTTGAGATAGTTTCTTTCAGTCTTGTCAAGCTGTCTCTGATGAAGAGCGTTGCCACTGCAATGTTTTAAATAGCTGGAACATGCTTTTTAATGGAAAGTGAAATATAGTATCAAAAATATGCAAATAATAATGTTTAAAAGCTGTTTATGTTGCACCTTAAGTAAGCAATTATTTAGGTGTCTAATTTATTTCTCTGTGCCCCTGTATTTGGATAACAAAGTCATTTTATTTCTGTTTTCTATGTTTAAAACAGAAAGGTAAGGACTTATTTCAGTAAAACCATTTTAACAAACCCTGGGAGAGGATGAAATCTGAAGATGGTGTGCACCTGGAAAAAGAAGAGAGTATTTTACATAACCAGTCGCTAAATAAATTGCACAGGGACACAAAGCAACAGTAAAACCAATTTTCTAGAACTGAAATTACTGTCCAAATAAACACTTCCAGATAAATGCTGTCCAAATAAAAGCTTCCTGCTTACATTCAGTAAAATCGGGAACATTTGTTAGGAGATGAGTTTGCTAACTTCTGTTATACTTTTGAGTCCATTTTTGGGTGCTCTCATGTACAATAAGAGACATTCAAAACTGTTACTGCAACTTGCCTGCTCTTATGTACATGAGGAAATCCAGAGATTTACTTTGTGCATCTTTATCCTAAGCAAGTATAGTAATTTCTTGAAAATACTCTTTATTTGCAGGAAGTCCAGCACAACTGTCAACTCCATAGGATATCATTTTGTGCTGATGATAAAACTGACAAGAGGATATTTACTTTCATATGCAAAGATTCAGAATCAAATAAGCATCTGTGCTATGTATTTGACAGTGAAAAGTGTGTAAGTATGCAAGACACTTCAAAAAAATTTGGGTGACCGTTATGGACTTTGGTGTGCTTTGAAATAAAACAGGAATGGTTAATCATTTTTTTTAATTGGGGTCACTTTGATATAATCTTTCATGCCAATATAGTGTCTTGTAACGTAGATGCATTAATTTAAAAGGGGAGCCTTTTTCTTCATTGATCTAAGGTGGTTTTCTGGAGCAATTCTTCTTACTACCCAGCTCAATATCCTAGGCCAGGCATCTGCAATACTCACAGAGAACAGACTGCATCCCACCAAGCTTGAAATGTTTGCACAGCTGTTTTGCAGATATTGCTGCAACCCTGTGGCTGAGATACCCTCGCAGGCTCTTCTGCTGGTGTGTCTGCCTCAGCCTCTCTTCCTCAGATTTTTTTTTTTAATTTTTTAAGCAAGTTTCTCTCTTCTCTGCCTGCTCACCCACCACGTCTCCCACGTTCGTTAATGCCATGATGCACTACCAGAGAATTCATTGCACCAACCACTGACATTCTCTCGTGTCTGAGATAGAACAGGGCAACTGTTCAAAAATGTGCAAGAGCAGAAAAAAAAAATACTTTAAGGACAGGAAATGAAGAAAATGGTGTCTAGCTGAAACAGGGTCATGTGTTTACCCTGGCAGAAAGTAATTAACAAATAAAAACACTAGAAACACAAAAAATGGATGTTTAGGGTTTTTTATAATCTAGAGACTCCTCTTTTTGATTTATTCTGAAGTAGCCGAGATATACAAAGGAAATACTAAGGAAGTAATATATATTTTGGAAAAAGATGCATATTCACTTCTATTTATATGCAATTATATAGCATTGTATGTTACTTCACAGTGTTTCTGGTGATTTTGTTGTTCACCTGCATTGCTCCAGTGCCTTCAGTAGATATTGTTCAGAATTGCTGTAGACATCTGTCCATTTATCTTCAAATTTCTATCCTGTGTCTTTCACACATTCCTATGATTTTAAATTGCCCTTGCAGTCGCTGCACGCTAGTAGCATTTCGGTTCCAAATCAATGCACCATTTCTTCTCTCTACCCTGATATTCCACTTACTGTACTACTTTCCTCAATTTCACTCTTCGTTCATTAGTACTCTCAGATTTCAAAGTATCCCACCTTAGTTGGTACCTTTCCTTTCAGCCAACCCTCATCCTTCCAAGAAGATAGGACTGCATAATTCTAGTGTCCCTTACACTTTACTTTTATTCTAACATAAACAGTTATTCTTCAAAGCAGTCCTAGTTCAGCTTTTTTGGTGTAATCATTCTAATCTGGCTAAAATAATTACTTGTGATATTTGGTGGTTGTGTTTTTTTTTTTTGTTTTTTTTGGTTTGGTTTGGTTTTTTTCCCCTTTCTTTAGTTTAGCCCACCAATACTATGCTTCTAGTGTAATTATTATTTTGACCTGGCTTTCACCCTGTTGATTGCTTTTCAGAGCAATTTGGGAAGGATGTGCTGTTCCTTAGTTGAATGCTGTCTTTTTTTCTGAGCCGGGAATTAGTTTTAATAAAGGTGGCCGTATGGTTTTTTTTTTTCCCACAGTAAAAAGATAGAGGAGTTAATTCCCCATTCCTATAGAACTCAGGTCTTCACACACCTCTACTCTAATGACTTTACTGTTGCACTGATGATTAAAAGGCTGGGAGCATCACATTCTGTACCATTTTTGTGCATCCAGCCCTTCATGTTCCTATAGGTAGTGAAGGAAAAATGTTCTCGGCTTTGAGCAGAATGCTCTGCTTTCATGAGAAACAACCAATTTCGGGTTTTCATTTCAATAAAGGAGAAAATTCTAGTTTAGCTTTAGCCAGATTAATGTTTTATTCCAATTTTTGTTTTTGTTCCTCTGCCAAATTGTTTAAAAAAACCCAAACTGTTACCTACTGTGTTTACTTTCTCTACTAAGTTCTAAGGCAAATGGCATATCCGTATGTTCACCTTTTACTGGTGCCTCTTGTACGTCTGCATTTTTTTCTGAAACCTTGGTGTGTTCAATCAACTTCTTGTATGCTTATTTTTACCTCTGTTACTATTAAAGTAGATTTTCTGTGTGGATTGTATATACACATCATTACATATGATGCGAATCAGCATAGAACTAAATTATTATATTTTGCACATACAGATGCAAATTCTGTTTGGTTGGATTTTTGTAATCAGAAATACTTGCACAGGTAAATATATTTATCTACACTATGCTGATTGAGATATTATAGGACTTCTAAAAGTAAGTGTGGAAAATAAATTTAAAAGCAGTACAGGTCAAAACATCCATTATCATGAAAACATTAACCCATTAAAATTAAAACAAGTTATTTAATGATAGAAAAGCCTGTATTTGCTTCAGAAATCATCAGAAAAAGACATACTGTAGCATGCTATCTGTATTTACAGAAATTAGAGGCATATACTAAAAATTAGCTAATTGTGTTCTGCCTGTTCAGTCTCCCTTCTTTATCTGAAGTATTTTTAAGTTGTATTAGTAGTGTTTTCTGTCAGGGTATTTTGCTGAAGAATGTCTGCCATGCTCCTTTGTAGTGTTGACTTCCTGATGGATGAAGCAAACCCTTTGAACATGATACATGGTGTAAAGCATTTTGTGATCATCTGAAATGAAAATAGTTATATAAAATATTCTTAATATACTAATTTCAGTCTTATGTTTTATGTAAAGGCAGAAGAGATAACTTTAACAATTGGTCAAGCATTTGACTTAGCTTACAGGAAATTTCTGGAATCTGGAGGAAAAGATGTTGAAACAAGGAAACAAATTGCAGGTCTACAGAAAAGAGTAAGTTCTGAACTATATTTTTTAAAGAGATAAAAGAACATGCTACTGTATTTGTGTTATCTGATTTCTATGACAGCATAATTTCCAGCATTATTGTTAGATTGCCAAGAATTGCAACAGATATTAAATATGAAAACTGAAAAAAGACCTGATAACTGTGAAACAATATTTTATTTTTTGCCATCTTGCAAGGTTATTAAAGAGAAAAGCAACGTTGAAATACGGAAGATACAGAAATTTAAGTTTAATTATTTTTTGTAATCAAATAACTAGTTAAAAATTGCTTCTAAATCACCAGATCTCAGATATAACTTATTCTCAGTGGATGCTGTTGTTAATGAATGAATATCCCAATAGCTTTTACAATAACCACTTGCTTTGTAGATTCAAGAATTAGAAACTGAAAACACAGAACTGAAAAATAAAGTTCAAGATTTGGAAAACCAGTTAAGAATAACACAAGTCCGTGCATCTCCAGTAAGTACATGCACATACCTCTTATATCTGAAGTTACTCTAAATTTATAATCATCTGTTATGATAATTACTAGCATCTGTGCTGTTTCCAGTGACTATGATTAACATACCGTGATCATGTACAATATCTGTTGAAATGCAGTATTGAAGTAACAGTAAGATTGTGACAAGCCAACAAAAATGCAAATTGCAGCCTCTCAAATTGTGGTTCTTTAATCCTCTTGTCATACCTATTTGTTGCTCCCTAAAGACAGTAAATACTCCTTCTAGTAGACATCTAAGGATGAAGAACTCTGTTCGGCACTTAAACGATCTGGTTCACGGATGCTACTTTGGATGGTTCTGGGAACTTTCTGTCACAAGCATATTGTCACTTACAACTGACATTTTCTAAATGACTTTTAAAAAAATTTGGCTGTCTTTCAAAGGAGTCATTAGGTCTCAGGATCTGATATTGAGTGGGTAGGTATAAAGGAGCAATTGTGGGTTCCTCATCATTGGAAATTTCTAACGCTTTCTGCAGTTCCTATAGATGATCATGACAAAAGGCTTTTTTAAATGACTGACTGACAGTTACTTATATCTAGGCAGGACCTCTAAAAATGCAGGTTGCATTGCAGACTGATCCTAATGACTCCCCTCTTCTTACAAGCAAATTCTATCTGTACAGCATTAGATAACTGTGAAAATAAATAAAACTTCTCAATGTACGTATAGAAAAATGTTAGAAAAAGATGGACTGCTTTTAAGCTGTGCATTTTGGGCTGCCTTGTTCCTGCCCTAGATGTACACCATTTCACTTTAAATGGCTGTTTAGAAATTTGGGCAATGTAGAAGTATGTTTATAATGGTGATGACAATTTTTCAGTAGTGTCTATACACTCCCTTGGTGTTGATTAGATGGTTGTTCCTATGAGGAACTGTCATTTCATTTTACTGAAATCTGTTTAGAGGAGAGAGAACCATAAATCATAAATACTGCATAGCTCCCACAGTAAAAATTGTAAATGATGGATGTCTTCTCACTTATGAAGCATTCAGTGAAAGGTAATCAACTTTAATGCTAGATTTAAAATCAATTTAGTCAATTCCTTAATCTTTTATTTTCCTTAATTAGGATGGCAGCTAGTTTGTCTTTATTTATGAGTATAATAACTAAATGTATCTTTGAATTCAACTAAACAGGCTCTTAAGTCTCTTGTGATAGATGCATTTCTCTTTCATTTAAATTAGTGAAGAACTTGGTAATTGCATTTAGCAAAAAAATCAAAAGTATCAACAATGACCAAAATGCTTCTGGTAGCATGTGTAGTGCACGTTAATATTTATTTTGTCTTTTAAGACAGTGGTGTCTAATTCCTTATTAATGACTTAAGATCTAAATTTGTAAATTTGCCAGCCATCTCCCTAGATGGTGTTTTATTGTTAATTACTGTTGGTATGTGAATATTCATATTGCTTAAATATCACTTATGCTACAAAAATTACATAATAATTATTAATATTAAAATATTAATTTGTTTTAATAAATCACTACAGCTGTTAGTTTTCATGTATAATTTTATTCCTTTATTGACTCCTTAATCTTTAAAAAAAAACACACAAACATTTCCTGTCACAAATTTCTGAGTTTGCTCATGATTAGAATTGCAGTAAGAGTCGTCTAACAGCCTATTTAATATCTAAATCGATTCTGCCACAAAATAACCTTATATAAATGATTTGAATAAATATTGGAACAGATTGCTCGGAGACGTTGGAGGTATCTGTACTCTTGGTGATACTAAAAACTTCCCTGGATGTGGTCCTCAGCAGCTTCAGCTAATTGGATCCTGCTTCAAGCAGGAGTTTGGATTAAGCTCCTTTCTGCTTCTGCGATTATTTGATCAGTTGTGCAGCCAACAATAAAAAAAGAAGCATTTTTAGGAAAATGTCTTTCTCAAATCTAGGATTATAACTGTATCTGCCAAACACTATCAACTTTTGTACCTTACCAAGAGACATCATTCAAGTAAGCCTGTTTTAAACTAGGTTGTGTACATTGGAAATGAAAGCTCTTAATTGCCTGTTACAGTTTGCAATTAATTTTATATGCTTTTAATTCAAATCAACTATCATTTCAAGCATTACTTTGCAAAGTTTCAACTTCCATTAGAAAAAAGCAGAAACAGTGCAAAGAACATTTTTCTCTATTTCTACATAACTTCTGTGATGAAAAATAACACTTTATTTTTTAAAAAGTTATTAGAGATTTGATTTTTTTGCTGAATTTAAATATAAAACTTGTAAGTACCATGTTGTTAAAAATATCTGTACTACTGCTGCTCTATTTCTTCAAAATTAGCAAAGAAAAATAGCAGTTCTATCTTGTGATTGTTTTGTGAGAGTAACATTTTCAAATCTGCTGATAGTATTTTGTTAAACACTGAAATAAAATAGCTTACATAAATGAAGAAGAATATCCAGCATGGGGAATAACACCTCATCTGAGTCACTTCCTAAGCACTTCTGGTTAGATGGGGTAAAACTTGCTTCCCTGCAGATGTTCTTCATGTTACATGCTGTGAACATAACACAATCATTCTTGTGATGTAAAGCAGATTTATAAAACTATAAAGTTTCGGGTTTTTTCACAGCTCTCATATCCATGTTACTGAATTATAAATAGATGCCAGTGCCATACTAAACTTTCTGAAGCTTTTTTAGACATAATAAGTGATTTGATTTATTTATATTAATTTGATGCAGCTATAACTCCTTATCTATCAGTCCAGTTTGCTGCTGTTCTCTCTGCTGAGGTCTAGGAGGGGCTAGTTTAACAATCGATGGAAAGTTTAAGCCCTTATACCTGATACCCCATATGATAAAAGTACATGTGCTATTAACTGGGATCACAGTACTTTGTAAAGAAATGTTCAGTTAAACAAGCCAACTACAGATGGTTATAAAGTTGCTTCTGTTCATGTTTAAATAGTACCTTGTTTTTTCTTATCTTATGTTTTCCTTTTTGGTTTTGGTTGTTTGCATGCTGTTTGTACTTCTCAACATTTGCCAGATGTGCTGAAATGGCTTCCCTGTCTTATAGGTTGTTGACTGTGCTCTTCCTTTAGTGATTAATGCATGGTCACAGAAACACTTGCTAATCAGCAATCGATTTAGCACTTCAGAAGTCAACACTAGCAACTTGATTAAATAAGTATATACTTAAAGAAGCAGAAGATGTTGCAAGGGCCTGTGATGACAGTTCACAGAACATGACAAATATAAACATTGAAATCGCATTGTGTGCTACATCCTCTTCTCCTTCAATCCCCATCCTGTTGGAGGCAGGACCGCAAGCCATACAGTCTAAGCAGGCATAATTTCAGGCTGACAATGGGCATGTATTTTCCTTCCCTGTGAGGGAAGACTTAGGCTCTTAAGTACTTATTGCACCTGTAGTGTGAAATAGTGCTGTTACAGACACCAAGTGATGTCACTGTCATGCTTTATTTGTTAAAATACTGACCTAGGATAGAATGTCTTTCCCACTTCTGAGTAACTGAGAAACCATGGTATCATTTGTATGCAGTGCCAGTCTATCATTTCTTTACTTCTGCTTCTTCCTTCTGAAGTTGATCAGTTTTGGTGTCTTTAATTATTCCAGACACATTAGTGTTTGCATTAAATTTTAATGAAATAAAGTAGGTAGAAAATACATTCAGAAATTCATCCTTGACACTGTTGTTATTTTAAATACTAAGTTGATACTTCTTCCCTTACCCTTTTCCATTTTCTTTGTAAGGATTTTGAAACATATGAAGTTCTCCTTTAAGGATTCTGATACCAGACTGCAGGAGGTCTAAAAAGTACATCCCTTTTCCTCTATCTATTTTTATTTTTTTATAATTAAAGCCAGAGTAAAATTAGACAAAAGAAGCCATTGTGTTAGGGAAATGTAAAGCAAACACAAAAGAAACCCTGAAGACTTATGGAAAAATCCTAAAAATATTTACCCACAATATCAACATTTCACTGGGGGAATCACTGTTGGCTGTTTAGTCCTTTTGTATGTAACAAAGTGAAATGAAGATCATGCTTGTGAATGAGGCCTGTGATTTGGGGTGCACTGCTGGCTAAATGTGAGCGTGAGCGTCCCCCCAGCATTTCTTGAAAGTCAGTGCCTTGCTGGTCAGTGCCGGAATACTTTGTGTACAAAGTTTGGCTGAAGAGGAAATTAAATATTCGTGATCTGTGGGCAGGTTTTTTAACATAAAAAAAAAAACTCTTGAAAAAGCAACAACAATAGCTATTAGCATTCTTAGCATTCCTCAGTTAGCATCTCCACTGAAAGACGAATTCCATGTGAATGTCATGAATGTGACACTTCATCAATCCAATCTGCACAAGTGTTTAACCATTTTGTAGGAGAGGAAGGCTGTGATAAACATAACATCCTTCAGTGGAGACATGTAAACGAGCTGGGGCCTTCGGCTATTTTATTTTATCAGCTTTTAACCCTGGTAGAAGTACAGAGTTTGGGAAATTGTCCTTCTATTCATTTAAAGTATGGTCAGAAATTAAATTAAGCTTTCTTGTGCCAGAAGGGCAACAAAACTGGTGAAGGGTCTAGAGCACAAGTCTTATGTGGAGCGACTGAGGGAACTGGGGTTGTTTAGCCTGGAGAAAAGGAGGCTCAGGGAAGACCTTATTGCTCTCTACAACTACCTGAAAGGAGGCTGTAGCGAGATAGGGGTCGATCTCTTCTCCCAAGTAACAAGCAATAGGACAAGAGGAAATGGCTGCAAGCTGCGCCAGGGGAAGTTTAGGTTGGATATTAGAAAAAAATTTCTTCACCGAAAGGGTAGTCAGGCACTGGAACAGGCTGCCCAGGGAAGTGGGTGAGTCCCCGTCCCTGGAGGTATTTAAAAGACTTGTAGATATGGTGCTTAGGGACATGGTTAATGGGACTTGACAGTGCTAGGTTAACGGTTGGACTTGATGATTTTAAAGGTCTTTTCCAACCTAAATGATTCTATGATTCTATGAAAGGCAGCAGGAAAAGGTATTGGGAGGAACAGCCCCAAAAGGAATGGTGTTCTTCCATTCACCATAAGTATTGTCAAAGATGCAGTATGTAATATATATTCTTATCACGGCAGTGTTGCAAAAAAACCTCCATTTTTAAATGGAACATTAAAAAAAGGCCTAATCAACCAATAGCTTTAAAGTTCTTTAAGTAGTGACTTAGAAGCATAGGCCATCTGCACCTATTACCCTCATTAAAAAACTTTAACATGCTTATGAGAAAACCCCAAGATAAATGTTGGAACTGTACGCATATTTCAAAAAACAGTCTTTGAATGTGTTTAGGCATATCACTTGATTCATGTTTCCATTAAGACTGCCAAGTGGGAAAATGCACATGTTTTTTCGTCTGCCTTCTGCTCTTTTAATTTTATAATATTCTGTATTCAGTTCTGTGAGCACTTCTTCATGAGGGTTTAAAATTCCATTATGTTTGTGATATTAAAAAAAATAAATTTGAAATTGCCTATGTCAGATTTCATGTTACTGAAAAAGTACTAAATGAACCGAAGATGTAGCAGTTAATTAATGAAACTGCTAATGCTTATCCAGTATTTTATGAATTAGTCAATTAATATATCAATACATTATGTAATAAATATATCCTTAGTAGTCCCAAATCTCAGGTAGCTTGTAGTCAGTGGTTTTGTAACTAACTGCATAATTTCCAATTCAAGGTCACTCACAGTTCCCTGTAACATTCACTGCAGTTATCCACTCTGCCTGTTCTGTGTATTACCAACTTGAATGTTCTAAGGAAGAAAAACATTTTCTAATTCACTAATACACTCATGTGATTCCTATGGGGGTATGACACAGAGATTGCAATCAATGTCTTCAGACACCTAGTGAAACCAAACAATTTTGAAATGATTTCTTGATTAACAAAAACTCAATCATGCTACATTTGCTAGTATGATGCAGCCAAACAGTGCAGCTTCAGCATCATGCAAAGTAGAATGAATCAAAAATAAATCCTTTGATAGGCACATAATAACATCTAATAATAGAGACCAAGTCCACTGAACTAGTATGTTAATTTCATTAAGAATGATTTCATGTTGTTTTCTTGTGTTGATGAAATGGGGCCCAAATTGGAAAGTAATATATCAAGCTGACCAATACCACATGTTCAGTGTTCCACAGTGGGAAGCTCAGACAAAATATAATTGCTATATAAAACGGCAATTTAGTATATTTTCACTATATTTTCTTCCTTTACAATTTGGTGTAAGAGTATTAAGTTTCAGAAGTTATACCCTTTTTAGGTTGTATTCTTTAGAGTAAGGGTCTGTTCCCTTCTCCTGCATTTTCTGAATCTGGTGATATTTCCTACATTTTAAAAGCCTTCTGTGCAATCCTTCTCTTTGAGACCTTCCAATTATTATTTCCCATTGTTCGAATACACTTCCCTGCTGTACCTGTCCTGTCTGTGGGCTGCTTGAATACATAGGGCTGTAAGCAGAAAGCCAGTGTCAGCCTCGCAGGTCTTTCTGGGTCCTGAACAGCGCTCAGAACACAGGTCCCAACACGCAGTGGTGGGCTTCTGCACTGCCCTGCAAATGAAGAATTACTAGTGAAAAGTCATCATTGACAAGACACATTCCCAAAACTGTCAGATGAAGCTCGACACCCTGTATGGTGTGAAATGTCCTAAGATTATCGCTTATCAGATAAATAGGAGGAAATGTGACTGCTCAATCTTCAGGGCTCGAATGATACAAATAGAGTATATTCTGGTTTTGTATTGAAGCCTTTCATTGCCTGGATTTGATATATGTTCATCATCCTTATAGTTTTGCTGCTTTGCATCCTATATGCATTTTGCTGGTTTCTGTATGATTTTTCATGTGATATACATGCTTTCTTATGGAAACTACTTATCCTCTGCTGTTTTGCATTTCAGGGAAATATTTTGCTTCCTTAATTTGACTGTTTGTATTTAGTATCTTCGTGTTTACTATTATGAGATCTGTTTTTTCCATATATATGTATAGCAGCAAGTATTACATGGTAGTAATTACATGGTAGCATTGCAAGTCTTCTACTTGTAGTCTAGTGATAACTCTTGAAATAATAATCAAAAATCTGTCTTGTAGGATTTTGCTTTCGTTTTTATTGATTACCATTCCAAACCCTCTGTTTCACAATTCCAACTTGGCAACAGATTAATTCTTTGCAATTGCGATAAAAACATTTTTTTTTTTCTTATGAATTGTGAATTTTGAGTAGAGTGTTTTGTGGTGTTTGTTGGTGTTCTTATAAGTATAGCATTGTTACTAAATTTGGCTATATCTATACCTTTAACCTGGCTTATCTGTAAAGAAAATGAAGAAAGGAACTAAGACTCAGTTTTTAAAAGGATTTGAAATGGTCTGTGTTCTATGTAACTCTGAAAAAATTAATTAAATCCTGCTCTGCTGGAGTGATGCAAACTTCTGATGAAATAGTCATGTCATATCAATTGCGTAACACTGTATGAAGAGAGTAAATGCAGACTTCAAAATTTTTGCTGCACATATGTACTACTGCTTCAGCCTGAGCAAGTCGGAGGGTTTTTTAGGCAAGATACTTACAGCACAGATCTAATTCCTGCCTTGTCAGTGTATAAACTCATGGCTCTAGCCAAGAAGAACTGTCTGCACAAGTGTTCAATCCTTTCTGTTAAGATTCAAAGATTAATCTGTCCTCGAAAGCCTTGTTTTAACTGTCCAAAGCTGTTTCCCTCAGATTTTGAGGTAGGAATTACAACTTGGCCCCAACAGAAAGATTGGTTGGGCATGTTTCTTAAATCAAATATTTAAAGACCTTTCCTTTTTGCTTTTCTTTCCAGCATCAGTTGTTTGTTTTTAGTTTCACCTAGACAAGATCCATTTCTTTTGAAACCTTTCAGGATTGCAGATATTTCCCAGTTGGGCAAAAAATTAAGAGTTTTTGGTTTTTATCAAAGTGGACAAAGCCCTCAGCTTTGCTCTCGACACACAATGAATCTTGCTGGAATATACAGTTCAGTACTCCCCAGTCATATAAGGCAGCTAGCTTCAGGTTCTTGTCTGCCTAATTCAGACCAGAACCTTGCAGTTACCACCTTGTTATCGTAGGTGAACGCTCTTACCATTTGTATTCTGGTGTGGATATTACTCATTTGCCTCTGTTCGAAGCTGTTCTGTGGATTTGTTAAGAGATCCAGATTATCTTACAATCTTCAACATTTTTATATCTCCAGCAGCAAAGTTTTATTCCGTCTTGCATCCTGTGCTGCTGTTGTAGGGACATGAGAATTCCTTTGCTTTGCAACAATGAGTCTCAACTTTTGAGATACCTACTGAAAATACCAAGTTCAATTAGTTATTCATCCACACAGAAAAGATGGCAGAAGGCTATTATCGCCCATAAATGTTTAGGTTCTCAAACTCTATAGATGAGGAAAGGAAATGAAGTCTAGTATTAATGTAAACATTATAATTTGTGCACTGTGAGCTTCTACTGTAAGCAGGCATTAGTTAAATAATTAAATTTTCTTTAAATATTGCTGGGATATAAATGGTAGGTGTTTCCTAGTTTGGAGAAAGAAAATTCTGACCTGTGCTTTAACCACCAGAGTAACTCTGCTCCCTACGTGCTTATCTGCTAATTTACATGTGCAGAGATGCGATATTGCTGATATGTTGGTGGATTTAGACATTTGTCATTGCATCTGACACACCCATTTTTGGAAAGATGCCTGCCTTCATTTTCTTTGGTGCAATTATCAAGGAGCAAGTAGTCTTCATTCCAGTTAATACTGGGCGACCTCTTACTGTGGTATATTTTTAGATTTTGTTTTAAAATATTTTCAAGTACTGTATCTTGTAACTATAGCACTGAACAGCAAGTTGCTGACAAACTTTTTTGAAGTATGAAATGTGTTTTTTTTTTTTCTTCTTTCCCTGATGTTACCACGTTCTGTTCCTCAGAATGTTTTCTCTTTCTGTGATTCCTTTTCAGCTGCTGCACATAAAGTGTGATAATGATGAACATATATTTCAAAGACCCTCTACTTTTTTCTGGTGTAACAATGAGGATTCACCTCCTTGTTTAGATATCTCTTCCATTACGCTTACTCCTAGGAGTTCTCCTGACTCTAGACTATCATCTGGATTGTTAATACCACCACCTTCAAAAAGTGGTCTTCCAAAGCCAACCAGTGAATACAGCTGCCCAAGACCTCGTGTAATCCTGCTGTGCAAAAGCTTTTCCAGCTTTTTTGGCTTTCCTTTGTTCTCTGTTGTGTATTAACTTGTATTAAAAATGTGCATTTTGTACAGTGGTTAAAGGACAGAGCAGATTTATCTTAGATTCTCTAGGGATACTCTTAAAATACAGAATTTGTGAAGATTTGCTCTTATTTCTACACAGTTTTTTCTTTCCCACCCCCAAAACATAAACTCTTATTTTCCCAACCTGCTTAAATTAGTCCATTAATTAATTACATCTGTGTTATCTGTCAATCTTTTTTTTTAAATTCTGTATATTAAGAACAGTTATTCAAACAAACAATTCTAAAGGTCCAACTTCAAGGGCTTCCCCCCCATGAATTAATAGAAAAGCAATCAGCCGTTAAATACCTTTTAGCATACTTTATAAAAACTGTGCAAAATGAAGGTTGAAAATTATTCTTAAATATGAAATGGGCATATTGCCTGCTTTTTCATAGCAATATGCTTATACTTTCAACTTTTCTTCCATTTGCTAGTAACATTTGGCTGTATTTGGCAAACATCATGGCTTTCTGCATGTGTTCACTAAATAAAAATGCTTCTTGTGCTCATATGTGCTCAAAATATACATTTCTTAAAATAACTAAATTATAATTTTACTTAAACTAGCTGTATCAAAATGGCCAGTAACTTCAACAAAATGGCATGTAGACAGGAAATGACAGTGTAAAGTTTCATTTTGCTTTCTTTGCCTAAAAGATTTATTTAAGACTAAACATAAATATTGTTTGTTTATTTATCTAGCTTCTAGGTAGCCATAAACACTTAGCAAATAAGGAGAATCTACATTAGCATTTACTATCTCCAAGACATTCTAGGATTATCCATCAACATTGATGGAAATGTAGGTTAATATATGGAAGGTACCTATGCATTAAACCTGATCCCACCTTCCTGATGCAGACAAAACCTATCTACAAGAGTGTTTCATCTGTATGAAGAATGGAAAAGGAGACTCATTGTATGTTTACTTTGGGTCAAGCACATCCATTGCCCTGCTTTGAATGGGAGCAGATTACATCCAGTGATCTCCCTGACTTAAATTATACTGGTTCCCTGATAAAAAATATGAATTCAAAACTCCTAAGAAATAGGAAATGTAGGACTTCAGAGTCTAGTTTTCTCTTTAAGCAGTGTATTCAGTGGAAGACCATAGACCAATGTCCTTTCCTTCTCAGCAGCCACTGCAGCCTCCAGGGAGAAATGGAGGTAGTTCAGAGCTATCTATAGACTTGGCTTAAAAATCTGTGCTGTGAGAGAGCAGCTTCAGTTGCTGCAGCAGAGGCATTAAGTAGCATTCCAAAATAAGGTTTAGGTCCATGAAACTCTCATGGACATGCAGTGCTAAAGACTACCTGCTTGCCAGGTTGTTGTATTCATGTGTTCTGAATAAAAGTATCTGTGTGACTAATTTAACTTGTGCTTAAAAATTTTCATGTGAATATTTTGGTCAAATTGAATCTTTTTTAGAAGTAGCAGGCTTTCCTTGTGCCTGGCTATATAGTCTTTCTAATACACAGAATGTAGGCTTTTTGTATTGTCTAAGTAATAACATTAACATGCAAACTAGTTTTGCATATATATTTTGCCTTCGTTTTGTCAATCTCAATTTTAATCTATTTCATCATCTGTCTTTAGTGTTCAGTTTATTCTGACTTGACTGTGCCTCATTTGTGTCCTGAAGTAGTGGACTGATGGCAGGAGGAAATAATCATTAAAAAATAAATTTGGCTATAAAACGATAGTAATTGTCGGTTTTGGGGTTTCTTTGCTTATCCAGTATTTTTTTGAACCCTTCCAAATTCCTAGGCCTTACTAATGAAATCTCTTCTGTTACTGGTTCTGTGCGCTTTGGAGTGTAGCATATTGTTGTTGCAGTATTACCTTAAATGGGTCTGGGGAACATATCTGTATTCATCCGTCTGCAATAGAGAACTGCTTGTCACCAGCTTTTTCAGGTTTAACTGTGATACATTTCTGGCTGTACCAGATGGACTGAAAATGGAAAAATTACAATGCTGCTTATATATTGGAGATTTTTAGCATGTCTCAGACTCTGAACTGCAAATGCCATTTGCTTGGTGTCAGGAGCTGGTTTTTGCATGCTTGTGGTTATTTTTAACTTTTTTGAAAATGTGGCTCTTATCTGCATGCTGAAGAATTCAGTATTGTGATCTTTCATGTGGAATATTGCCCTAATATTTATTGTCCTTATTGTAGGCAGGCAGTGTGACACCTAAATCACCCTCCACTGACATCTTTGATATGGTTCCCTTTTCTCCCATATCCCCTCAGTCATCAACACCTACTCGCAATGGTACACAGCCTCCTCCAGTACCCAGTAGATCTACAGAGATCAGTAAGTTTTGTAACAACTGACCTAATTTTTGCTTACATTATTTTTTTTAATAAAGCATCTTTAAAGACTTACGTACATTTTGCATGAAAAACCAAATACAGTTTTTGTAAATCACATCTGATAATGCCATTTCATTTTTATACCATCTTCCCAAAGTCATTGATGTTGCTGCCAAGTTACATTATAAACAAATTTATTTACTTGCTGAAGCTATTGTATAAACAGTTTGAAGGAGTTTGGTTGGAGATTTTAACTTGGCTTTTCTTTTGCAGTATCTCTTTTGTACTTCAAGAAATATTTTTACTTCTTGTTAGTTCTTTCCTTGTCAAGCCACAGTTGTAGCATCTAAAGCCTCCATTTCTGGGGAAGACAGCAGGTGGAGTAAGTATGGTGGTGATGATGCAGAAGGGAGAGCTGAAGAAATCCCTCAAGATGTAGACTGTCTTGGAATACTATTTTTAATACTACTTTTCATATCATCTACAGCTTTGTTTTTCAGTTATAGTTGATGAACCCCTCCAGATCTGTGGACCACTCCTAAAAGATCTTCAAAAGATTATTAACAATAGCAATTTTATTTTCCAAAGGCTGGAAAGCAGCTAGGGTAAGGCTCTTGGAAAGCTTTTAGGAGTCCACAAAGTATTTTTAAAAGCTTTGGAAATCCCTTGGAGGAGAGGAGAGCGGAGCATACACAAGCAATGTTAGAGGTTGTAGAAATATCAGTCTGTGTAGTATTCTTCTATTTCTGATGCCTGTTTTAGTGGGAATAAGGAAGATTAATGTTGCTGCCTGCCACCTTATAAAACCATATTTGTAGAGTTTCTGCCTGTTTTGGGGAATGCTGCTAGTATGTAGAATTTTCAGGTATGAATGACAGCTGTGCACAATTATAAAAATGCATTGTAAAACTTAAGTCAGTGAATGTCTTTCCCAATACCATATCCTATGCACCTTTCATTTCCATTGCTCAGAATGACTGTGACCCTCTAAAGAGAAAGTGGATGTCGAGGCTATTGATTCAATAAAAAAATCTGTTCTTTTTTAAGAGAAGATTTTAAGTTAATTTAGATTAATTTCTATGGGTTTCTCCAAAGGTATATTAACAGAATTTAAAACTATTCTGTTTTAACTAATACATATATTATATATATATTAATAAATATACTAACTAACTATTAGTTAATATTAACTATTCTTAAATAACTGAAAAGAATATTAGAATATTCTAATAGAATATTAGAACTGTTCTATTAAGAGAATTTTTATGGCTTTGTAAACAACAACAAAAAAATAATTCAAAGACACCCCTTCCAACAACTCCTTTTGTATTCTCAAATTTGTTCCTCTGAAACTACAGACAATGCCATAAAATCATTCTCAATGTGCATATCCAGCTTCAAAAATAATAACTTGAACTGAATTACAGGACGAGATTTGTTTTTTAGCTATTGTCCTACCTTGGTTCCGTTGAAATTGTGGCTAGAAGTCTTGTGGGAGTCAACGCCCAATGCTGAGTGGTCTTGAGAATTCCAGCTATGTAGGTTTTGTAATTGTCTAAGCAGTGGGTTTTGTAATATAGAGAATACTATAAATACGTTGCTTATTCAGTGATACGTACTGTTTAAAATAGTTGTTTCGTCTGCACTTCATTCATTTGCATTAAATTAAGATGATGTAGTTCAGAGACATAGCAGTCAGTGTCCGTTAATTCTCTGTGCTCCTCAGTGTGCTGTGCTTCAGAGAGAGATAACAGAAGTACATCAGTCTTTACACTTTTGATCCGTGCTCTTTCAGTGTACATCATAGTACTTAATATGTTGAAAATTGTTGCATTCATCAGCTATTGGCGTATTTTAAAAATGTAATTTTAAATAGAAGAGGAATATTTTCTAATCAAACAAGGACTTACTGTCTTAGATGAGAAAGTTCAACTCCCATAAGAATCTCATTCAAGGTGTGTAACATTACATTACTATAATAATGTACAATAATACGTTATTTTATATGGTGTTATTGGTGCTGGTACAAGCAAGCTGGCATTTCTTTCTCCAATACAAGTCAATAGGTGGCAACCAAGGGGCACCAAAGTTTGGAGTCTCCTATTTTCCAAGGTCTTCTGAACATCTTTTCATGTTCTTATCTTACTTTGTCACTGCACTTGAGCATCTTTTTCGATCACTTTTGATGAAATTATAGGGTGATTTTCTTGGATTTTATCATTTTATAACATTCAGTGGTAAACAAGGTGAAAGATAAGGGTGCACCATCTATTTGCTAGTGTCAACCTCAGTTGCTCCATTTGTCTAAGTGAGGTTCATCTGCCTGTTACCTAGGGATGGCACTTGGTCTGCTCAAGCAAAATGAGCTTTTCAAAGCCAAAGTTCATCTTACTCATCAACTGGCCAGTTTGACAAATCACCCAAGAATAACACTGCACAGGAAAGACAGGTCCTATTTGCAGGAAACCGGTAACAATACCAAGCACTTTGGATTCCTCCAAGACCAAGAGCTTCATAGTTGATAATTGGCACCAGGATGACAGTTCAGCTTTTCATAAAGAGAAAAGCCTAGAGTTAAAATTTTGCTTGCCATGTCTCCCTTGGGTAGTTTCCCCAGCAAAAATTGGTGGGTTATAAATTATATCTTTTGCATTGTCTAGCTCACAGTTCAAGAAACCCGGCATTCTAATACTGGAAGGGTGCAAGACTGACCTTTTCTTGGAAAGGCAGTTATCTCCAAAGCATTTAAGCTTTAAAAAAGGGAGAAGTTTCTTGAAATTTTGAGTTCTTATTCAGCATTATACCAATATGGCTTCTCAGTAAATGTCTGCTCACTACTGGGTATATCAGTGTCCTGGTTTTGGCTGGGACAGAGTTCATTTTCTTCCTAGTAGCTGGTATGGTG